TCTTTGTGGCCTCCTCTAGACTTGTGCCAACAGGTCCATGTGGTACTGATACTGGGGGACCCACAGCTGGACGCAGAACTGCAAGAGGGATCTCACCAGAGCAGAGCAGAGGTGGGGAATCACCTCCCTTGACCTGCTGGCCACGCTGCTTTTCATGCAGCCCAGAATACAGTTGACTTTCTGGGCTGCAAGCGCACATTGCTGGGTCATGTTGAGCTTCTCATCAACCAACACCCCCAAGTCCTTCTCCTCAGAACTGCTCTCAATCCTTTCTCTGCCCAGCCTGTATTTGTGCTTGGGATTGCCCTGACCCATGTGCAGGACCTTGCCCTTGGTATAACACTTGTAAGATTGGGACAACGTGGGTAGTTAACAAGTCATATGTTTTAACGCTGTTTAGGTTACAGAGGGATTACTTTTACACTATCAGATGTGATTTTCTATTCTGTAGGAAATTTTTCAGTTTAAAAAGTTTGTATAGAGGCAAGTATCATAGCTGTTTTACTGCAATTCCTACGGAGAAAAAAATCATGCTGACTTTTCTTGTGCCTTGATGGATTTTAGTTCTGCGTGCCATATAGAAAACCAAGTGAAATTGCACCAATAGTAATGTTAAATGGTTGGAAATATGTAACAAATTGCTTGGTCAGGAGATACTTACACAGGATCTTTGAAATATTGGTGTATTGTTTGAGATTTTGAGTTAGCTGTATGTCAAGCATTTTAGGAAAAAAAAAAAGTAAGTACTAAAAATGGCCAGAGGTGTTTGTTCGTTTGTCAAATACAGTTATAAGGCCTTACGAGCATGTCTAACAGGCTGTGCTACTTGTAATTAAAATGCAGTTCTAAGTAAGCTTGAAACTCTGAATTCCTACTTATGTCTGTGTTGACAGATGCTGCTTTCAGCATTCCCAATTCTTTCATATTGGATTCTACTCAGGAAGGAATAAACTGTGATAAAATTGATGTTATACAGTACAGTGGAGACTTAAGTTGTGTGTAATATTATTATTTAGCACAGTAATATTCAAGCATCCAACTTTGTCATGTATCTGTTAGGAAACAATAAAAAATTTATAATTTTATAACTGGAGTAGTAAAGATTCCTCCTGGAATTATTGTGTAATACTTAATTACATCAAACTTAAGTTTCTCTTGCATTATATTTGATTGCATTTCATAAATAGGTTGTAACAATTCTTTTTTGGACCTGTGTTTTGGATTTATCTTTTGCACAAATCCACTGTTTTTATTCTCCTAAGATTACTCCAAATTTGATTAAGAAATGCCACATTTTTCTTTTTTTAATACTTTTTCAAATATGTATTATTATGCTTGTTTTCATTTTCTTTCACTCATGCATTAATGATAATTGCTCTATAGCTGGATTTAATGAATCAAAGAGAAGCTATGTCAGGAACGTTTTATAAAAAGAATGTTTGGATTCATAAGTCATTGTTGTGGTTACAAAGAATCAAAGGTACTTCACTGTGAAACTACAAGCTAACATAAATTTATAAAATGAAGATAGGGTCTTCATTAGCTGTAAGTTGATTGAACTATTTCAGTTCTACCATATGAGGTTTTCCTGAAAGCGGATCTTACTTTTTGGTGATGTCACTGGCAATGTCATTCTGTTATCCCAGTATAATTTATTTGATTATCTCAGTCTTTCTTCCCAGAAGTATAATCCTTTTAGAACTGCAGTAAATTGTCAAAGCTGTTGGTCTGATAAATGCATCCTTGTCAAAATGATCCTTGCTTATAGTGTGTTAGTAGAAAGATTACAGCATTTGATGGAGAAACTTCAGGTGAGAATGTAACGAAAAGCTAGCAATAAATAATCTTTTGGGGATGATGTGCAGTGGATATAAAAGTTGTTCCATGAGCTGTTTTGCATGGATATAAAGAAATATTTCACCACACACATCTAAATGCAGACTGCAGGATTTTTTTTTTTTATTTTTTTTTTTTTAGGCAGACTGTAGCAGAAATTTTAAACGTAGAACTGGAAGCTGGGTGGTAGCAGTAGTAAGATAACAGTGCTAATGCTTGACTTTTGTAATGCATTCTCTTTTAGACAAGCATTATTATTCTTTTTTAAAGGATAAGCCACTTATCTAATTTTTGGTGGTAAACAAACTGGATTGAGATGTTGGAAGTTGATTGTGGGGATTAAAGACCATACAGCGGTTCATTAGAAGAACACAAGGCTTTATACTGAGGGTTATGATGTGCTGTGATCACTGCATCTACATCAGGAGGATTCCACCTTACGTTGTCTTGATTCCTCGCCAGGAGGAATTACAGAGAGAAATTCCCCTCTTTCTCTTTCAGTATATGCTTCTGTGATCTCCATGTGCGTTAGCAATGTGTTGGTGATTTTGGGGAAAAAAGAATTGCTGTCAGTTATGGATGATTATGGAGTATTAGGGTTGAGGAACAAGGCAAAGCACTAATGTTCACACAGCAAACTCTGAAATTTATTCATCCTGCATTGCAGTGTAAGAATCAGAGGAAGGCTGCAAAGGGAAAAAGGAGACCACTGTTTGAAGCGGTTAGTGTCCGTGCATATGCACTGGCATGTCACAAGTGCTGTTTCATGTGCAACCAGCAGCTGCAAAGGTGCTGGATTGATTGTAGTGTAGAGTAGGTGGAAAGGAGATGTGAGTACATTCTGGTTTTGCAGTGGCTGCTTGCCATCTTTGATTACTTTTGATTACACTTTCTGCCCTTACTGCTCTTGTGCTTTCGTGGTGAGAATATGTGGGTTACTTGGGGATTTTACAGACAAAGCATCCTTCCTTCTGGTTGGTCTTTATGTAGGGAGGGGATATAGGGAAAGGATGAACATAAAATACTGTTTGGTGTTGCTTGATAGCCATTCAAGAGTCGACAATCAAAACCTTCATATTCCATTTCCACAGTCACTTTGTTCTAATGAAGCTTGAAAATCAGTGAAGTCCCAGTGTGAGTGAAGCCGTTATTCTCCTTCTATAGCTATTTTCCGTCAAACTCATCTAGTTCTTGATAGTTTGGACCTCCTTGGACTATTTTTTGTGTGTGAATGGGTATTCCAGTTAGTTCCTTTGAATGAGCATTTTCCTCTTGTTGACCTCTATGGATGTGCTTCTGTCTACTGAAAAGCTTCAGTAAGCAGAACTTCATTAATCAAGTACATAGCTCATAAATCTGTTTGAATGGTTTGTTGACATAAAACACCTCACTTAGTCTGTCCTGTGTAGTACCCAATGGAATATTCAGGTTATTGAATTGTTGCTCACACATTTGCACACTATTGATTATTGAAATTATTATGGGCTTATGTCACCATCACTCTTCAGTATGGGCTTACCTACCTGCTTTTAATATGCTGTTGTGTGGAATGTTTGAGTATGTTTGTAATAAATTCATGGTTTCCTAACATTTCATTAACAGACAGAAGCTGATGCACATGTTGGAAAATTGGAAGTCGTTGATCATTTCAGCAAGAAAGTACATCCAAAGGAATCGAAAATTAATCAAGAACAGAAGAAAGTAAATAGCAAGCATCAGCTCCCATCAGACAAGTTTCCATCTCTGTTGGTGTCAGTTGGCAGTGCTAAGGTACTGTACAGTTTGGAAACAAAAAAAAATTCGTCTCGTTTAGTACATCTCGGGTAGAGTGGCCTTAGATTTTTTCCATAGTGTGGCAAGTGAGGGATCAGGTTGTTAGACTTGCACAGACTGTTGAACCCTGTTTATGCCTTGTTAACGTAATGTCTGTCCTATATATAGAATGGTTTAGGTTGGGAAAGACCTTTAAGATCATCAAGTCCAACCGTTAACCCAGCACTGCCCAGCCCACCACTAACCCATGTCCCTGAGCATCTCATCCACATGTCCTTTAAATTCCTCCTGGGATGGTGACTCCCCCACCTCCCTGAGCAGCCCGTTCCAATGCCTGACAGCCCTTTCCATGAAGAAATTTTTCTTAAGATTCAATCTAAACCTCCCCTGGCACAACTTGAGGCCATTTCCTCTTGACCTATCACTTGTCACTTGGGAGAAAACACCTATCCCCACCTCTGCACCCTCCTTTCAGGGAGCTGTAAAGAGTGATGTCTGCCCTGAGCCTTCTTCAAGCTCAACACCCCCAGCTCCCTCAGCTGCCTCTCACAGGACTTGTGCTCCAAACCCTTCCCCAGCTCTGTTGCCTTCTCTGGACACGCTCCAGCACCCCAATGTCTGTCTTGCAGGGAAGGGTCAAAACTGAACCCAGGATTCGAGGTGCAGCCTCATCAGTGCCCAGTACAGGGGGACAATCCCTGCCCTGGTCTCACTGGCCACACAGCTCCTGATACAGGCCGCGATGCCATTGGCCTTCTTGGCCATCCAGGCACATGCTGGCTCATATTCAGCTGCTGTTGGCCAACATCCCCAGGTCCTTTTCCGTCAGGCAGCTTTCCAGCCCCTCATCCCCAAGCCTGTAGAGTTGCAGGGGGCTCTTGTGGCCCCAGTGCAGGACCTGCCACTTGGCCTCGTTGAACCTCACACAGTGGCCTCAGCCCATCGATCCAGCCTGTCCAGATCCTTCTGCAGAGCTGTCCTGCCCTCAGGCAGATCAATATTCCTGTCCAACTTGGTGTTTCATGCAAACTGACTGAGGGTGCACTCGGTCCCCTTGTCCAGGGCTATCCGTGGCTACTGCTTTCTGCCTTCTAAAAGCATGTAAACGTTTTTTGTGCATGCCTACCCAATTTTTTTTTTTTGGTTTTCTTATTTTGCTCTTGATAGAACATGGCAATTTCACCGTGAGCAGGACTGTGTAAAATGGAGTAACCTTGATTACCAGGGTAGCTAGACTGTGCCCGGAAAACAGGGTGCTGCATTTCCATAGCTGATACTAAAAATGTTGCTGTTGTACGTAGCTGGAGAGAGAATTATCATCAGAAGTGCTGTGTTAATTATGTTGTGCAACTGGTTTAGGAATTGTCTGCAGAATCAACCTGTGCAGGCCTTGAAAATCAAGACAAAGGATTATTACTGAACGGTACGTTTAATGAGGAGGGGTCTGCAATGTCCTTTCAGGAAGCTTTGATTCAATGGAGAAAAGGTAATTCTTGTCACAGAGAAGAACTGCATGCTGGAAAGGTCCTATCAGGTATGAATTTTTCTGTTTTAATTACATTTTAAAAACATTAAGCGTAATTTTAGTGAGTTGGCAGTTTTTTGATTAGTGAAGGTGGATGTTCTATTGGAATAGTGTCTCCTCTTCACGTTTCTCCGTGTTTTCATTTATCAGTTAACAACAACCTCTGAGGTTGTTCCTTATAATAACCTGCAGATTAGTGTTTTATCCCAATTCTTGTAACAAACCGTGGATTGGTAATTTAGTTTGTGTCCCTCTACTTTTCTGTGTTGTTTTACACTTGAGACTTTAATGTGAGCAGTGATGCCAAAACATAAAGTCTCAGCTATTAACTGAGACTAGTAATGTGCATGGCTCAGGATTTCATATGTGGTATCATAATACCTTTTCTGCTCGCCTTCCACAGGCCCTTAATGTTTCTTTGTCCCAATGAAAGGATGCAATCAGTTGAAGTATGCACAGAAAAGTATGAAAAAACTCTTGTCCGATAGGGTTTGTGCAAACGAGTCTCTTTGCTCTAGTCCATGGACAGTGTTCATTCTTTGTGTAAAAATATCATACGACTATTTTTATTTCTGTTTTTAATTCTTTCCTGTGAAATGGTGGGATTATTATCTGTGGAGTCATGGATTAAACCCCACCTCCATTTACTTTATGTGAGAAGCTGTAGTAAATGAGGTTTTACAGGCTAGCCCCCCTACTGACTGTGTCGTGCAAATATAATACTGTTGGCCATTTACATTTTGGAATTATGCAGAGATTTAGCTAGGTACAGGCTACTAATGTGACATTAATTAAAAAGTGATGTAATTAAATAGCAAGTTTATAAAGCTGAATGGCTGTGTCAACTTATTTTAAATAATTCTAATAGAATCTGTGGGAATTTGTGAGGTACAGACGAATCTCACTGTTACGAAGGAACCTATCCAAATCAAGTTCAAGGAGGATGGCCTGAGCTACATGGAGAAACTCTTGCTTAAGAAATACCGGAGGTATTGTTCAAGTTGCTGATACTACTGCAAGAAGTACCTAAGAAGTTAGAACTACTTAATAACATTAACAAAAAGTCCTTTTTAAATATTAGATGTATTATCAAGAGGTAAGGTGACTGTATACAGAGTGCTTTATAAAATTGTTATAACCAGACTTGACTTAATGTTTCAGAGTTACTGCAGAGGGACTCTCTGGAGGGATTCTCTTTGCTCTCAGTTTGTTGTAGTATTTGGGGACTGATAGTAATAGTTGGTGGCTTGATTCTGGGGCATTTGCTGCAGGAGTTTTATAGACCAAAGGAAATACGATCTTCAGGATACTTCTCTAAGTGTTACAGAGTTGTTTAATCAGTCGCTGAGGCAGTGGTTAATGCTGTTGAAGTAAATAGTGTGGTGTTTGTTGTTTTGCTTTTTTAATGTCTGATATTGTATTAAAAAAATGGTGACTTTTTGGGATTGGTTTCTTTTCCTTTTTTAGAACTCCTGTTGATCAAATTTCTGGTAGTCGCATTAAAGATTTAAGGCCTGTGGAAACACTGAGTGTGCATCAGGCTGTGATTGGAGAAGGGGAAGAAGGAGATGCTGAAGTCGATGACTTAACAGGTGTAATAAACTTCTGTTTATTGAATCTAACTATTAAATATCTTTTCTTGGGATTTTGTTTTTTGCTATGATTGCTGAACAGTTACATACTTAAGCAGTTTCTGCTTAAAGAAAGTAGTAATAATGAAAGGAGAAATCTATGGTACTTCATAATAAATAAAAGGTTTGTGTTTCTATAAGTGAATCTTGAAAAGCAAAAAATGAAAAGCATTAAGTTAACTGTGTTTCGTAGCTGAAGAGGTGAAGAGATATTGGACATCGGTTTTTAGAGAGGAAGTACCCAACACTGCTGCTGACAGTACAGAGTCCTCTTTGAAAATTGAGTTCCTTGATGATGTAAGTATGCAATAAGAGTTCAAGAATCTTCACAGTGATCTGTTTAAATGTTGATCTCTTAACTATTTAGTGAAAGAATGGACTCAAACTCTCACAACTAGCAATGGAGGTTTATAGGATTTTAAAGAATGTATCACGCAAAACTGTCATCCTTGGTTGATGAATGAATATCTATTACACCAGGCTATTAGAATCATTCCAAGTTTTACAAAGTGAGCATTTTATTAATATAAGTTTGCAAGGGCAACTTACGATGTTTCTGGTCTCTTTTCCTGTTTCTAATAATTTGGTGTTTTATTCAAGTTCCAGGATGTAACCAAAAAACAGAAATCTGTGTCTGCATGGCACTGGGGACTTGAAGATTTCTTTGTTTTAGGTGCAAACCCCAAACAAGTAATGCTTGGAGCACATTCTTCACTGTGTGCTGACTCTAGCTCTGTGGATGCTAGCATCCCGTTTCCAGGTATGAATAAAACCCTCAAACATTATGCGTATTTATCACTGTTGCATTAAGACATCCTTCTGCTCATGTAACTTGGATCTAGCTTCCTTTGAGAAGTCACTTCGGGGTGACAGTCATGCCAACACACACAACTGGTGCTGTGGAAGGATAAAATAAATACAGAAAAATTGAGGTAAATTACATCGATGTAGTGCATTTATATGCTTCTTTATGTCCCCTGAGAATTTGGTTCCCATAGCAATTTCTTATTTTCTTTGTGCATAATATACATCATAAAAAATGCTTTTAATGGTGTATATGAAACACCATGTGAAATGATTGGTGAGTACGAATATTAACTCCATCAAGTATATCACTATATCACTTGAATTTAAGCTTGTTAGTGTGTTACATATAATTTTTTTTTTTGCATTATGTGTAGAAAAATTGTTGCATGACTTCTTTAAATCATACACATGAAATGCAGCAAATATAGTAACAGTAAATGCATATTAATGGAAAACTTGCAAATGATTTCCTCTAATACTTTTTAATTTCAGGAGATGGAAAGTGGGTTGCTGAAAGGAGCTTAAGTGAATACGCTGATGACTCTGTAGTTCAGGGTATCTTAGAAAGTCAGTTGAATAGAACTTCAAGGGGTCTGGAGACTCAAAATAGAATCTCTCCCCTAATGGCAGTGTGGAGGTCATACCCAGGTAAGGATAGCAACAGCTTTGAGGTCCTACTTTAACAGAATCTTCCTTAAGTAAAAAGAAGCAGCACTGTCTGTGATGATTATGTTGAATTTAGGTCCTTTTTATACCCTCATCTATTTGTTTGCATTTTGGGTATAATGGCTTATATACATGACATTATTTTCATAAAAATGGGCTTTTGGGTTAAAAATTTTCTCTTTCCAGCTGTCACTAATAATTCTTTTTATTGTGCTTAGTTTCTACTTCTGCCTCTACCTCACTCTACCTCATTACGCTTGAATATTTAGCTAATAAGCTGTCTAGAACAAGGTTCAGCATTACTGTGTGTTTTGCAGTGTCTAGTGCAATACGGTTTTGATCTAATAAGATTTCTTCATGCTACTGAAGTAAGTCGTGTTACATGAAAAATAAGAAACAAGGAAACAAGTAATGCATAACTGCATCTGCACTTTTGTGCTACTTTTCTCAATTTCAACTGTCTCCATCTCAAGGAATGGAGCTACATTGTTTCGCTCATCTTAAACAGCCAGTTTGGCATTTTAATTTTAAGACTGCTATGTGTGGAAATTGAAACTGTCAATTTTGAATCCCACAAAAATATTTGAAAGTGTTTATTTTTTATTCATGTTGCCTTAAAATTAAAAAAAGACAGAAACAAAGTTTTAAGCTTTCTGCACACATTGTCTCTCCCCTCCCCCAAAGTTTGTGCCATTGTATGTAATATTTAAAGAAAATAATTTTTTTCTGAGACATATCCCTGAAGTATGAGGTGCTACTTCCCAATATAATTGTAAACTCTTTATTAACATGTATTAATTCATAATCTTAAGCAAAATTAATAATGTGTTCAGATAAATTAATTATTTTAACTACAGTTCATGTCATTAATGAGGTGAGAAAAAATTCTCTCTGTATGAAATCTTGAATTATTGGAAGCAGTGCCCTTTTCTGTTATTTCAGGGAATGATTCTAGAAGACCTTGGTCAACAAATATACTACACTCTAAACTGACTGGGAATTGTCCACCAAACACACAGCCAAGACCAAAGAGCTCACCTGTACCTACGGTTAGAGTTGATGCTGAGATATCAAAACACACGTGCCTTGATGTAACTAAACAAGATGAGTATCTTTGGGAATATATTGCTGACCAAGAAGCCCTACTTACTCTGGAAAAAGAATTACAAAGTTATATAGGTAAGTGGCAATACTGCTTTTTTTTTTTTCCCCCTCCCCTCATGCATACAAAACTTATTAAAAATGAGTAGTTATTTCATTTGCCTTCTCAAATCTAACTGATTTTGATGCAAAAATGTACTAAACCATTGGATGATGCAAGACTCTCTTGTGGTCGAACAGTGATTTATTTCCATTTGGTCGATTTAACCTACCCTTAATTTAGTAGAAGCAAACTGTTTCACACAACTTAAGCTTTTTATCCCTTGCATTTTGTTGCAGAAAACTTCAGGACGTGCTACGTATTATTTCTGATCATAAATATCTTTTAAATAGGTATCCTTTCCTTGGATATTTAATAATGAACACCCAGGTGTTGTTAGGAGGTAGATGTGATTTGAGGCAAAGGTTGCCAAAAGGGGAAGAGGCAGACATAAATTTTCGTAAAGCTTTCCTGACGAGAACTGTCACTGATGAGGGCAACAGACACGGTATTACCTCTCCTTTTGGGTTTGACTCAACCCCCTTTCCTCTACCTGTTTAAACCCATCTCCTTGTTTTTCGAGGGGGTGACAGGTGGGGGCATGGTCAGTTGGTTATGGTTGAACAGAATGAGTGAGTTCTGGTTTTGTTCTTTGAATACAGGAAAAAAAAAGTAGTTTGGGATGCTTCTGTTCTATCTCCTTGAGGAGAGAGGTAAAGTGCCTAAGGCCCTTTGTGCTGTAAGCAGCCTCGATAGACTTCAGCTCTTAGGCTGTCCCTCTCTTCTGAGTTGCTGTGGTGCTTTTATGGTGGCAGGTTCTGGCTGTGATGAGTCTTCAGTAAATGGAAGTAGTCTGGAGTCAAGAGTGTTCTATCTTTTAAAATATTTTTATCTTAGATTTTGCTGTATTTTTTCCTACAGCTCTTCTAAGGCTTCCAAATACCCCATTTCAGGACAGTTGTCCTTCCCTTTTTGATATATATTCATCAGAACCCACATGATTTTGGAAGAGTTTCCCTTGTTAACGCTTGGATAATGTGCATCCGTGCTGAATATGCTCAGAGAAGAACAGGGAGGGAATTTATTGGTGAATTATCCCATTCTTTTTCTCCCTTTCTGTTCCACTTTCTTGGAATAGCTTTAACTTATAATTAAGTTCATAGCAGAAACTTATGGCTTTCTGGGAATACAGTAACACACTTGCATGTGTGTTGTATAAAAAGCATAGACTGTGACCCCAGCTGATCATCGTTTAGTATTGATGGATGTGGGATATATCCTGTTACTCTGATTTAAATAAATACTGCCATTAGTCAGCTACCCGAGTTCTGCATTTCCTACTGTATTTTGAGGTTTCATTGGTATTAGTGGGTCCTATATATAAGGTTTCACATTGTTCTGGTATAAACATTTTAGAAGCAAAAGCTCTCCATTACTTCTAATGATACAGGAACCGTATCATAAAAAGTCATATATTTAAGGGCTTGTAGTGACATCCTTCAGCAGCTCAATGTTTGGAGACTTTTAATGGCAAGTTTTTGTGGGTACTGTGCAATTCTTTGAAATCGAGAGTGCAGATAATGCATTTTTATTTGTTTATATTTGTTCTGAAAAGACCTGTCAGGTCCTGAAAAATGTTACAGTTCAACGTTTGAAGATGTAACCTCCTCCAGCAGACACTCAGAGTTGATGTGTGGAAGTAAGGATGTGGAGCTAAAAGGCTGCAGCAGAGTTGATACTCTCAAGTAAGTTAAACTTGTTGAGTATGTTTTTATGGTATTGTAAAATGTTTAGTAGGCCAAACATCTTGCCAAAACTAAAGTAAAAACAGTCTTGAATTTCTGATTGTACTTTATGTGCTGATTACAAATGTCAGCAGGACTTGTTTTGTAGCTTAGTGTTCTAAACCAGTACTCTCAGGCAGCTCAGATTAAGAAATAAGTGACATAATTTGTTGCTGGGACTCCAAATTATAAATTCTGGGATTTTTTTTCAATGCATTAGCTTTTGTTAACATACAGCACTGGGATTTATCAAGTGTGTCTGTTACAAGTCACAGTATGTTCTTTGGCTGAATGGTACCTTTGTGAAGACCAGTTTTGAGCAGGTGAGCCAGTAACATTTAAGTCACTGTAGGCTATGATAGATCTGTTATATTGCCTTGGCGACTGAGGAGATGACTGGAAACAAGGAAATTCCCAAAAGTTCTGTCTGTCATTGGTTTCTTACTATGATTTGTAACTAGTTATGGTGAGACGCTGTGAGGTTAACTCCATGCTATGTGAAAATAACTGATTAGCATGGGCTTTTTTTGGCTTTTATTTTAATATTAAAAATACTGAAATTGCAGGTCAGTAGAAAACTAGACAATATTTGCAAACAGTGCAGATAGAAATGAGACCCACTTCCCTAGCTTACCTGTTCTAGGCAATGGGACTTTTCTACTAAGGCACAGCAGTATTTACCTCCTGATTGTTTAAGAGGGGAAAAAGTATATGCAAAAACTGAGGGGGGAGAAATGAATGTAGTGTGAAAATAGCTGATTCAGAGATTAGCATGGGCTTTTTTGGGCTTTTATTTTCATGTTAAAAATACTGAAATTGCAGGTCAGTAGAAAACTAGACAATATTTGCAAACAGTGCAGATAGAAATGAGACCCACTTCCCTAGCTTACCTGTTCTAGGCAATGGGACTTCTCTACTAAGGCACAGCAGTATTTACCTCCTGATTGTTTAAGAGGGGAAAAGTATATGACAAAAACTGAGGGGGGAGAAATGAATGTAGTAGCTTGTAATGTGTGCATACTTGCAAAATATGTGGCCAAAGCTATTTTCATGACTTGCAGTTCTACATATGTGAACGTATGTCACTAAGGCTTAAAGCAGCATAGCTTGGAGAGTTTGAACTGCTGAAAATCACTGTGGTATGTTTCTTTTAAGGGGCTGGGATGAGAGCCAAGTGGATGATGAGGAAGATATTCTGGAGGATAAGCAACAGGTTCTTGCATTACAATGAACATGCAAAGAGCTTAATGCAATTTCTGCCTTTGTGTATCATACAAAAGCATGGAGCAGATGAAGAGTTGTCTTGAGTGCTGCTCCAGACTTTATTTATTGAGCATCATTTTGTAAAACTGTCAATAAAAATTCTTAAAAATCCCTTGATTTTGGCTTTTTTATTAGTATGAAGACAGAACAAAAGTGGTCTTGTGCTAATAATTTCAGGGTTGGTTTTTTTTTTTTTTCAGTAGAAGGTTAGGTGCCTGCAGGTTGAATTTTATGTCTCCAAATGCAGTTTAACATTGCCAAGCCGAGAGGTAATGTGCAAGAAGGTATTAATGGAGCGCTCTTAAACTGGGGGTCTCAACATGGCCAAGTTTATATGGGGAGATAGCCAGTAGAAAGTGTAATAGGTCTAGTGTACTTTACTCCTTGTCATATATTTTACCACTAAGGGACTTTTGCTTTGCAGAACAGATATTAATGGTTTTACATAGTATATTTTACTTCTCCTGCTACACTCCTTTCTTCTTAATTTCAGCAGGTAGCACATACTAGCAGTAAACTTGGCTACTTCTGCTCAGCGTCAGTGAGAGGTCAATTCTCTGTCCACAGAACTGCTTTGACTGCTGCGGTGTGCCGGTTCGGCATGATCTGTGTTCAGCATACCAAATCCAGCTCTGCTGTAGGGTGCTGTCTTACAGGTCTTTTAAGATTAAAAGAACAAAGAGGAAATACAGGTAAAAGATTATCTTGGGTGGTTTTGATTGAACCAAACCTCAATGAGATCCTGACAAGGCCCCAACTGTACTTTTGAAGTTGCTGCTGTTATTTAAGAAGGTTTTTTCTTCCTCCTTGTCTCCCCAGGTAATGTAAGGTTAAATGCAATTGAGAGAGCTTCAGTGAAAGGTCACTTGGCTGCTACATGCCAACATGGTACTTTAATGTAAAGTAGGTTTGTTTGGCCTTTTGCCCTCTTTTTGAGGAAATGGTTAATTGTACCCAATAGTTGAGTAGTTTTCTGTGCAGCTGGCAGGAAGTTACGGTTGTGAAATGATCTGTCTGATGTCTCTTGCTACCTTATCTAGGATTCTCAGTGACATGCTTCAGCTTTCTTGAAAGATTTTTCCTTCAACATGTTCTATTTGCATGTCATGGATACTTTTTTCCTCCTTTTATAAGTTTCCTCCACTGTGGTTTTTAAGATGCTTTTAAAAACATTTTAAAAACTGCCCCCACTCCTTCAGTCTTGATACAAAATGGTGTATCAAATTGCAGTCACAAAGATTTCTGTCTCATTGGGTTGGGGAATTTTGAAAGTGGGTTTTATTAAAAGCTTTTGTCTGATGATTATTCTTATCCATTTACGGGTAAATCACCTGACAAGGCTCTACTGGTAATTGTTGTTCACAGAAACTTTCACATAGAAAGCTTTATATCCCGATTTACAGCTTCCACCTGCGATCCACAGTTCACTCATAACAGCTTTAAATGAGGAGTTCCTCGAAGATGAAATTCAGAGTGCAACACTGTACGTACTTGTGACCATGTTGTTAACTGTTCTAATGAAAGGGTGATGTGTCTACCTCAGTCATTTTTCACTACAGCAACAGTAATCAGCAAGTTATGAAACTTCATATCAGATGCCTTTTATTAAAGGTCATGATTTCCATCACTAAATTGCTTAATTAGAAATGTAGATAGTTTTAGGATGATTAATTTTGTTTATAGCCTCCAATGCTTAAAGGCGCTTTGAGTGCTCATCTTGCCACTCTGAACACAGGATCACAAGGGTTTCAGGTACCTTCTTATCAGTGGAAACCTTCCAGTGTATTATTTAGGTTCTGACAATTAAACACGTGCTTGTTTGTGTTCTCCCCACACCGTAGAACTCTGACGTAGTGTGGATGTGTTGTCTGACCCCTCTCCATAAATTGTGCACTAATATTAGACAACATAACAGTAATGATTTCAACAATTTCTTTTACAGGAAAAAATAGTTCAGTAACTCTAATTCATAAAAAGTAGAGCTGTCGGGCTGAACAGAGCATTGATTTGATTTCCTGCCTCATTTCTTGTCTTTAAGGTGAGGGCATATTTTCCACTTCAGTTTGCTTTATAGAGTTTACCATATAGTGATGTTTTATTGCAGTAGTTCTTTGCCAGAAATTCTAAGAATAAAACCAGAAAGCAGGTGTTCTCCTTTGTCGATTAAGGCCAGTGCTTTTCTCTCATGAAGGTAACCTTTGCTTTCTTTTTGAGTTACTTTCCAAATATTCCTATTATACTCATTTCCCCTGCAGTTAGGTCGACTGCTTCCACACTGTCCCCAGACCTTTTTAACTAGCAGACTGATGGAGCAGGTGGTGGTACTGTGGTAGAGCCCTCCACAGTCAGGTTAATCCTTTGTGTTTGCCAAAGATATCTAGAAAGACACTGACTGTTTTCAACATCTCACTTCAACAGTGTTTCCTTCCCCCCTTTTTCCTGAAAGAAAAAAGTACTTTTTATAATACCTCTAACAAACTTTGGACTAAAAATAAGCTTACTTCAGTGTGTTACTGATCTCCGGTTAGTCAGTGAAGATTTAAATGCATCTCAGTTTTGAATTCCTAGGTTTAACACACTTGATGTCGGGTTTTTGTGGATTTTTTTTTCCCCCCTTCAAGACATAGTGGTGGAACTGATACCCTGACTAGAAGACCAAAAAGAGTGTCTGAAGTGGTGCAGTTTAGTGACATTTATTGTTTGTCTTCTGTTGCGAGTCGAACAGATCTGTTGGTGAAAGCTTGCTGGTTATATTTTGGATGTGTTGTAATGTACTTCTCTGCACTTCTGCCATGGTACCAATACAATGTGCAAATGGTTTGGGGGGGAAAAGTGAAAGACCAGTTCATTTTTTTTTTTTTTTGAGTTTCTGGGCAGAGTCTTCATGTCTCTGCGTACATTAACTTGTGATAACCCGATTTTACAAAACATAAATCCTATGAGTTGCCATGGAGATCGGTGTGGATTTTGAGAGGGGCTATCACGTTCATTAGATATTTAAGTAGTCCAGGATTTGTGTGGGCAAATCTACTTTTCAGTAGTCTGGCACACACTGCAGATCTGTCTCTCTTGTTTTAGCCTTTTTCAATGTGCCTGCTTTCTGCTTGCCGGCCATTCTGAGTGTAATCAGTGTGAAAGACTGCTGGGTGGGCAAGTGAGCTAACTGGTTTTGGTGGTTATACAGTAAAAGAATGGGTGAACCTGGCAAGGGTTGGCTTGGGTTACTGGAGAGATTTTAACGGCTGCTTTGTTACCTTGGGAGCAAATGTTTCCTTCATGTCCTTTCAACTAAAGAAAATACATGAAGCATGATTTCTGTGTGTGATATTTAAATACCAGTATTCCAACACTCTCAGCTTTTCTACCATTCTTTTTTTTTTTTTTTTTGTTGAGAGCTTGGTGTGAGACCCAGGAAAAATTTGGCTCCACCACTCTTCTGCTTAGAGACCTGGTACAAATGTACTTGGTGCCGGAGAATGGAATCAGTTGGGAAGGGTGAAAACCTAGCAAGTGTTTTCTGTCCGTTGTCAAGCTTTATGACCTGTACCAAGAGCAATGGACTTGTGCAGTTCACATATCAGGGTTAGTGTATGACACTAATCAGAGGTCTCTAGATGCTTGGAGGAAATCTTGTGCTTCACAGAGATCATCTGGGGAAACTGCTCACCTATCAACATTTTAAAGTTTCCTAGCCCCAGTTCACTACAGAATTTTTTCCTACCAGCCAGGTTTTTTTTTTTTTTACACCCCAAAGTCATGGTGCATCACACGGCACTACTATCAGAATAGAGGTCATCAAGACTCCTCATACTGTTCTCTTGAAATTACCTTTCCTGGTGGGCCTACCAGATTGCCCTGCACCTGTGGATGACTTTTACAGGTAAATCTAACTGGTCGAAATTGCCAAAGATTTTCCAGTTTCTGTATCTTGGTGTTTTAAATATCAGTTCTTCCTCCAGCTTGCCAGAAGAGAAATATCTGACAATAGTGATTAACTTATCATGTGAAATTCGTGTTATTCCCAAGTGCTATAATTCTAAGACTTCTGTTCCCCTTGTCTTCCAGTAGGTATCTTATTGAATTTTGGAGGAGGTCACAGCATCGCTGGCACAGTAAATAGTTGGTTAATGTGGAATGGCCATGTTTCCATGGCTCTTGATGGGCAAATTCTCAGTGTAAAATGAACGTGCCTCATTCTGAATACAGCCAAACTTAAGAGCTCTTAACTTCAGTTGAATACTTATTTCTAAAGCACTTACCTGGAAGTCCCTGAAGTATTTTAATTGCCTGTCTGTCTCATAATATGTCTTTGTTGTTTATTTTCTTTTCTATATAGAAGAGGCACTCATCCAGGTAGTGAAGTTATAGAAACCACATGAAGTTGTGTCTAGCAGTTGGCTGTACACACAAGAATGTGTTAAGATTGGAAAGCGAGAACCAAGTTTTTTGTGTTCATGTTTCATTTCAACTAGTTCTGGTAATTAATTACATTTAAAACATTGTTTGTGGTTCTACTTGTGCGGATATGGTCTCTGGTACATACTTCAAGACTCTTCCTCTAACAGAGCAGAGCTCAGTTTTACTGTTTGATTCTAACCTTTAATAGACATTAAGATGCTGTCATTTGATGCATCTCATTTATAAAAATTAAGGGTTGTTCTTTCCTCCATCATAATATGGCTTACGTGCATCTCATTCGATTATCAGAAACACATAAACCCAATTAGTTTTAATTTATCCAGACTCTCTTGATTAGGGAAAAATACATCTGCCTTTTTCATTTGAAAAATGAATTCTGCAAATTGCAAGCCATCAACACAAGGGCATTTCTAAATTATTTTGGTGGAGAGAAGTGTTCCGTGACTTTCTATTTAATTAGGATTAATTAGGTTGTTGGATATGCTTATGCTTTTTGTAAGGGAGGGAAACATGATAATCTACTTTTGTATTAATATTACAGGTCAGTTA